GGCCAGGGAAACCCCCCCTCCCCCTCCCCAGGCAGAGAAACCAATCTCAAGGCAATGTGTATTCTTTCCTGAATGGCTGCCTTGGGGCAGTCGTGGTTATTTAAAGGGTATCCCCATTCCCCTGGACCGAGAGAATTCTCTGAGATCCCATCCGTGAGGGACGCACGTTTCTCAAGCCATACTTGCAGCCCAATGAGATGCACAGGGACGGAGGCGGAGGGGAGGAAAGAGCAGAAAAAAGAGGCAAAAGACACATGACTCATCAAAGTAATAATACGTTTTCTAGGAAAAAAGTCTTCTCTCCAAAACGTTTGAGAAGGAGGTGGGGGAGTTAAAGAACCATAGCCGAGAATTGATTGTGTTTTCAGCTGAGCTACTGGGAGTGGGGCTGACCCGAGATCTGTTGAAACGCACTGTTTACAAAACACAGTTGGGAAGACTGTGTGTGTAGAACCGTGACTGGAGGGGGCGGGTGCTGTCAGGACTTTCTCGGTCAGTCGCGCCAAGTTGCCAACTAGTACGTGCGCGACAGTGTGCAGACAGCGACTTTGTTTCGTGGGTAAACAGGACAAAAGGAGTTTGCAGAAATAAAAATAAAGGTGATTTTGAAGTAGTGGGATTTTCTATTTCTAATCCTATTTCTATTCCTTTAAATCTTGGTGTATTCCATGAGTACAGTGTGTGTTTTTTTTTAATTTCTAATTTAAAATTTCTAATTTAAAGATTTTTTCTATTTTAATTTTCTATTTTTTTCTATTTCTCTTTTTAAATTTCTTTTTTTTTTTAAAGATTTTATTTTATTTATTTGACACAGAGAGAGAGACAGTGAGAGAAGGACACAAGCAGCAGGCAGAGGGAGAGGGAGAAGCAGGCTTCCCGCCGAGCAGGGAGCTGGATACGGATGTGGGGCTCCATCCCAGGACCCTGGGATCATGACCTGAGCCGAAGGCAGACACCTAATGACTGAGCCACCCGGGTGCCCACTCTTTTTATATTTCTAATTAAAATTTCTAATTTAAAGGGTTTTTTTTTTTATTTCTAATTCTATTTCTATTCCTTTAAATCTCTGTGTATTCCGTGAGTACAGTGTGGTTTGTTCTTAGTTTCTTTTTAATACTGTTTTAAAAAACAAACCACACTCTACTCACGGAATACACTGAGATTTAAAGGAATAGAATTTAGGGGCGCCTGGGTGGCTCAGTAGGTTAAAGCCTCTGCCTTCAGCTCAGGTCATGATCCCAGGGTCCTGGAATCGAGCCCCGCATCGGGCTCTCTGTTCAGCAGGGAGCCTGCTTCCCCCTCTCTCTCTGCCTGCCTCTCTGCCTACCTATGATCTCTGTCTGTCGAATAAATAGATAAAATCTTAAAAAAAAAAAAAAAGGAATAGAATTTAGAGCTTTGCTAAAACTCAGAGTCGTAAGTATTGACCCTGTGATGTTGGATAAATTAGTTTGCCCTTTAGATCCTAGGTCTCTTTAAAACAGAGAGGATGAGGGTCACCTGAGAGGCTCAGTCGATTAAACTTCTGCCTTCAGCTCAGGTGAGGATCCCGGGACCCTGGAATCAAGCCCCCCATGGGGCTCCCTGCTCAGTGGGGAGCCTGCTTCCCCTTCTTCCTCTGCCTCCCTCTCTGCCAACTTGTGCGCTATGTCTCTCAAGTAAATAAAATCTTTAAAAAATAAAAATAAAAAACAGATTAGAGAGGATGGTGTCTGCTCTGTGTACAAGGATCAGACAAGCCAGTAAAGCGTACAGATACCTTTTGAACTAACTGTAAAGTGCTAGACAGAAATTAGTTGTTGCTGTAATAGTTACACAGAATAAGAGGTTGTCACAGTCTGCCTAAAATGGCTGTAGTGTGATTTCACTGAAGCAAGTGAAGGTAAAGAGAAGGCTGAGCGGCAGTGGCCCTGATGGAAGAGAATGATCACAGGCTCTTTTTAAAATCAGCCACGGCACAAAGTTGGGCAGGCAGATTAATTTCCTTGCACTTCCCCTTAGCAGTTGATGATGGGCACCTTTAAAGGAAGTCCATATTGTTAAGAGAAAAGCCACCATTTATTTGCACGTGGTGTCTTCCCCTGAGGCCGTTTGCTCGGGGAGGCTGCTTCTGCAGCTGCAGGGAGCTGGTCGTTTCCTTCCCAGGGAGTCTGGGAGGGCACCGAAAGGGGGCAGGTGGACGGTGGTCCACCCAGATAGTCCCGCCTGCTGCAGCCTGCCCTGCTCTGTGGCAAGGGAAAGTGGAACCCGGGCAGGACAGCCATGTGTCCTGGCCACGACTGAATGCTAGCAGGGTGTCCGCAGCTCACCATTCAATGGCCGGGTTCTCTCCCCCTGCCTGGGAGACAGACCACAGTTCACTTCCTCACTGCTGATTCCCTCGACAGGTTGTTTCGGGACTGGTTATTTCCTCCACCGCGCGGCTTCTCTCTCTTGCAAGTGTCAAAAATCTGAACTGTCTGTCCAATCGTGGAGATCAGTAGTGGGCACAGCCACAGGAGAAGAGAAAAGATGCCCATCCTTCCCATTGGCGTTGGTGATGCTGCAATGCTGGCGTGTGTGCTTCTGTTTAAGAGTTGGTAGACCCCTTCTGGGGGCAATTCTTGGCCTTCCGGGCTTTTAATTGGAAAATATGTTCAGCAACTGGGCTTCAGGGACAGTGTGGAGGCCGTGTAAGCTGATGGCAAGTTTCCCGTGTCCTACTAGAGCCCTAAGGATCAGGGAGGTAGGCTTGGTAAGAAAGAAACTCTCCCCCACCCCCCTTCTCATCAGACTCATGTTGTCATTTCAGGCTTTAGCTTCAGGCCTTCCCTTTCTCCCTTATCCACAATAACTTCCAGGAGCAAAACTGTTCAGCTGTGCTCACATCTCCCCTGCAGCATGCTAGAAAGAAACGGGAAAATGTGAGCCTTGCGATCAAATGTGTTGATAAATGGCTGACCCTGGTGTTGTTTAATATCATTCCCAGAAGATTCCCAAGCCCTGGGAAAGTAAGCATGTTGCTGGTCATCTGCTTTAATGTCCCTGGACATGACATAGCAGGTCCCTGCGGGGCTGGACGCGAAGGAAAGCAAGGCAGCTGTTTGAAAGGAAAATCTGTGTCCTGACTACTAAATATGCTGAGCTTGACAAAGGGCAAGTTGGACGAAGAGGGTGGAGTTTGACTTGTTTGTTTCTCTTGTTTTACATCATTTCTTGGGGAGGGCAGCTGCCGCTGGCCATGGGGTTCCGTCAGAAGCTGCTGAGCGTGGGAGTGCTGCACAGAGACTGTTCTGGCCAGCCTGGCTCTGTGAGGGGAGGGGATGCTCATCGTCTCGTCTGGGGACACTGACTTCTGAACACCAAATGGCATCAAACGTACCCTTGTTTTTTAGAAGAGGCCAGTAGGGCGCCTGGGTGGCTCAGTCATTAAACATCTGCCTTTGGCTCAGGTCATGATCCCAGGGTCCTGGGTTCAAGCCCCGAATGGGGCTCCCTGTTCAGCAGGGAGCCTGCTTCTCCTCTACCCTTCACCCTACTTGTGCTCTCTCTTGCTTGCTCTCTCTCTCTCTCAAATAAATAAATAAAATCTAAAATATATATATATAATAAGCCAGTAAATCCATGCACGTCACAAGCCTGAATTTTAAAAAAGAATTACAAGTGTACATCCTGGTTCATACTGTAGAACTTTTTTCCATGTCAAGAGCCTTTTCTTTGGCTCTGTAGCCTTGACTTTGGATCTACCGTGGAGACTGAGAATCTGTTCCAGTGGCAGGTGCCTCGGTGGTCTCCCAGAGCCTGGAAGCCCACAGAATGAAGAACGTGTCAGATCAAACAGAAGTAGTGTGAGCGGTGTCAGCATCTGTGGTGCTGTCAGCCATCTGAGAAGGGTGACAGACAAACTAAATGAAACACAGTCGATCTGCAAGTGTCTGGAAACAGTTGTCTGAAGTGGTAGGTAATCGTGTAACTGAGTATTTCTTTCTCTCTTTTTTTTTGCCACTCTGACCTTTTCAGTTATATTTGCTTAAAGCAAATGTAAAATCAGGATTAAGGGGTGCCTGGGTGGCTCAGTCAATTAAGCATCAGACTCTTGATTTCAGCTCAGGTCAGGATCTCAGGGTTGTGAGATCGAGTCCCACATCGGGCTCCACGCTGGGCATGCAGTCTGCTTAAGATTCTCTCTCTCCATCTGCCCCTTCCCATCTCTCTCTCCTTCTCTCTCTAAGGAGGAAAAAAAAAAAGTAAACTCAGAAATGAACCAAGCTGACCCTGAAAGAAGGTGTCCCTGAAGGGATAAAACAACTCCTGATGGTCCCAGTAACTTTGTCAGGGATCTTACTCAAGCACGTTGGTAAGCGTCTGGTCAGGAGCTTGCTGGTCCCAGCACTGGCCTGGGAATCGCCGGTCAAGGTAGTTGTGTCACCTTGTAACTAATTAGAGCAGTGCCGGGACTCTGGTCTTGCTGCCATGGCAGGGCCGACCTGAAGCACTGAGTTGAGGGGCTGGGGTGCAGCGAGCGGAGTGCAGGAAGGCCGGCGTCTCTGGCGCTTTGCCTGGGCCCTTGTCACCATCCCCAGGAAGGGCCAGGTTTCACTCTGACATGATGTTTGGGTCCTGAGTCCTGCCCCGTTCCAAGAAGGACTCGGTGACCTAGTCGCAGTGCTGCTAACCTGCGTGCTTGCCATGCGCTGCTTTCATCTCATAGAGCCTGTTATGCAATGCTTCACTGTGGCCTCCGGGAGGAGGGGTGGCTGACAGACCGTTTGTATCCAGTGTCCCCACCGGGTCAGCTGTGCCTCGGGCAGGGGGAGCAAGAATATCCTGATAGGGTGGGAAGACAGCTAGTACCTGTCTCCTGTTTTATAAGTGTTTGCCAGAGCCGTGGTCCAGACTAGCAGGTAGAAATCATCCACCAGCTCACCGCAGCTCTGAAGAACAGGTGTGGGAGGCTTCCCTGGCCTTCATCAGCCCTGTGCCATCCCAGAGCAACAAAGACATCTCCTTCCCCCAACCTGGTCTTGTCGTCCATGGCCCTACCTTCTGGAAGAGCTGTGCCCAAAGAGCACCAGGTGGGTAAATATCAACCCTGGTTTTTTGTTTGTTTTCTGGAAAAATATTCATCCACTGGGGTGAAAAAAACTGATTATTTTTAAATATGAATAATAAATGCTGAGCCTGAATGCCATTATGTTTGTGGTCCTTCCTCACTCAGGGGTGCCAGTCAGATGCAAGAGAACGGTGACATGCCTAGAACCCTGCCCCCACCTCCTTAAAGAGAAACTCCATGAGTGGGGCCGGGCCATGTGTATCCTTGGAAGCTGACCCTGTCTTGTTAGGAACCACTGCCTTACATGTATATTTGTTCAAAAGGGCCGCATTCCTGCAGAAGGGAGAGTATACTGGTAGAAATCACTTCAGGCCCTTTGAGGCCACAGTTTTCTGAGACCCATTATAATGGTTTGATTTTCTTTACTCTGATGGCCTGGGATTCAAAAGAAAGAGGCTGTCTCTTGGTGGGCTTTTTAAAAAACGTTCACCTGAACATCAGACATGCAGAAAAACAACGGAATGGCCTAGAAATCTGACAATGGTGGACAAGAGATAGGGCAACCATATAATTCATCATCACAAAGGGGAACCCTTGAGACTGAAAGAAAGCTCTATTAATAATCACGCTGGGACAATAGGGGTAAGCCAGGCATCTGGTCACACTGATGAGAGGACACAGCCCTGCATCTAGGGTGTCTCTTGTCCCTACCAGTGAGGAGGAAACACACTAAGTATTAATTGTGACATGGGGTTTAGAGAAGATAGGAATTTGTTCACCGCTCTGCTAGGAATATCACAGAGAAAATAAGAAGTCAGGTCCTCACCACCACCATCCATATTAGGAATATCCAGTATCTAAAATTCAAGGCTCACAGAGTTGAATGGAGATGGAGCATGTGTGGAGAGAGGAAACACAAGAAGATTCCACTCTGGATTCTTTGGACTGGACTTCTTTCTCTGCTATACACCTAATTGTGGACTGACTTCTCAAAGATCTACATTGGCCATTTCAGGAATTCTTCTATTTCATAAAATGATGGCAAATTCAAAAGTAATAATATTATGTTACTATATGTAAAACATTTTGAAAAACAACTTAGGCTACGAAATTCTAGAAAGAAAAAGAGCATATGCATCAAGAGTGATATTTTAGAAGAAAACCAAATTCATAAGTTTAGATTTTACCTCTTACTGCTAAATAGAAGAATTATAGTATATATAATTTCATATATCCCTATTTCAGTTTGCCTCTTTAAAAACTTATTAGGAAACCAAGTATGATAAAAATGGTTGTTACAGCAGCTGTTCTACTCAGGCTAGGCTGTGACAGTGACCCTCCACACTGGGAGAATCGCAGAGCGAGCTACAGACAACATGGGAAACTGCCTGACATCATCATAGGCCAGAGGAGGGGCACAGATGTCCTGCCCACCTTCCATGGGACAAGCGGACAGTAGACCAAAAGCTGAAATTCTGCTATCAAAGATTCACTTACATTGGTGGTGCATAGTTTTTGGGGGGACTTTCCAAAGTCCCTATCAAGTGTAAACTACCTTAGGAAATTAAAAAGATGCCTCTCAACTGGGTGTCAGGAGGCACTCAAAGGCATGGGTTATATAAAGTGCATCTTCCCAAAGGGCCAGAGTTACTTGACAGCTTGGGAAATCATTTTTATAAAATGAGTATAAATATATTATGGAACGGAATATACTATTTATGTGATGATCAATAGGAGACTTCAAAGAAATGTTCTAGTTACCACATCTTCTTCAAGCTAAGTCCCAAACCCCCATGAGTATGATTTTGTGTATTAACTACCTCTGTTCAGCCAGATCTGGTTTCTAACTCTTACTCTGCTCATTTCTCTCTCCTTGGGCCAGTGCCAAGTGTTTCAGCTTTATCTCAAAAATGCTTTAATATCTTCCTCATCAAAATACTTTTTCTTATCTTTGATTTTGTATTCATTCAAATAATCTTGAAAGTTGTTTCCTCAAATATCTCAAAAAAAACCCATTGGGATTTTCATTATCATGTTAAACATAAACATAGATTAATTTAGCAAAAGATTGACATTTTTATATGATTCAGTCTTTCCATGAACATGGTATATCTTATTTCATCCAAACTCTTATATTTTTAAGTTTTATCGTTTTCTCTCTTAAAGCCTTACACATTCTTTTTAAGGTTATGTCTAGGTGTGTTGTTTTTGTTGTTGATGTGACTCATGTTACTTTCTTTTCTCATCATATTTTCAGTGTCATCCACTGAGATGCTGGCTTCTTATATGTGAAATGAAGGGCATGCCCATTTGAGCAATTACACTCCTTCCAAATGTGGAAATCCAAAGATGGGGTTTGCCTGTAGAAAGGCTATAAATTGATGATGATAATGGTATCTTCCTCATAAAGTTGTTGTGTGATAGAAAGAATTAAATACTTCTAATTAATTGATTTAATTAATTAAATGCTTAGAACAGTGCCTGGTACACAGTAAATGCTCATTAAATGTGACTGCTACCTTTCATCATCATTACCATCGTAATTTTTTAGTAGTAATAGCATTATCATTATTGGTAGTAGTGGTGTGGTCACTACAATGCCAGAGGCAGGATTTGTCACTGTCCCCAGTGGACAGGGAACCATCCCTGCCTGGATGGTTTTACCATCCTTAGAGAGGGCAGAGAGCAGGGACAGTCCCTCCCTAGGCTTCTCCAGCAGAGCCAGGTGTCAGCATCTCTCCCGTAACTTTTCAGTGCCCAGGGCAACCTCCTGATACTAGACCACTGGTAAGCATCATGGGCCTACCGGACAGGAGGCTAGGCCCAGAGCAGAGAAGAAGAGGGTCCTTCAGTCCTCAAGTCTAACCCAGGAAGCTCAAGTTCAAAACCAGGAAGTGGTGTCAGACATCCCTGACATCCTCTCCACAGTGTAGGTGTGTTTCACCACTACAGACTCATAGACTCTTACAGCCAGAGAGTGAGGAGGCTTCAAGATCTTTGAGGTCAGGATCTGACACCCTGTAGTGCTGCTCCCAGCAGCAGACTGGCGATGCACAAGGCCATGTGTATCAGTAACAGCGAACGAGACCTGACCACATGCCCACTACTGTTCTTAGTTAATCCTCTCAGCAACATGAAGACAGCAAATGTAATTGAGCCCCAGGAAGTATCTGGGGCAATTGGTACATTTTCTTCCAGTCTCCTATTGCATTGGATGCTCATAACAATGGTGTGAAACAGGCAGGAAGTAGCCAAGGCTCTCCCATTCCTCGTGATGGAGCCCAGCTCCTCTGGGACCAAGTCAGATTGAGACACGTTGCATGGGAGACAGCACATTGCGGCAGCTGAGTGACCAATGGAGACCTGAAACGTTGGACTAAATTTTCTTTTTTTGGATCCTCCTTCCTCCCCAGCAGGTTATTTGTCTAATGAGTCTCCAAGCTCATAAGTGTTTCTAAGCCAGCCAGCCAGCCCATCTACTTGGAGTTGAGGAAGCTGTATATTTTTCTAATGGACTCTAATGCCAATTCCTGAAGTTTATAGAATAAAAGTGTGATCAGCTTTAATGACCAATTTATGCATGGTAATAGTCGGATGTGGCTAGCTAAGCCCCTTGGGGCTTCTGGAAGGGCTGTAAATTGAAGGCAGTAACTGTACTTCCTCGCTTCATTGACCGGCTCCTCTCACCTCCAGCTTAGAAGCGACATGCTCTGTCATTAGCACCGGGGCATCCGTCCCTGGCTGTTCCCTCCCTGTGTGTGCTGACACATTTTATAGCCAAAATAAATGCAACATCACTGTTGGACATTTATTGCCTCGCCTCTGTAGCTCTCGTTGAGATAACTTTTTTAATATTTCCTCCCTGGGTGAACTGAATATTTCTCTTCCATCTTCTGTAATTGCTCTGGGTTAATCCCTTATAGGCCTGGATTACAGCTTTAAACTTTCTGCTGGGCCAAATTTAAATCATTTGATTTTCCTTAACAGCGAGTGAGCATTCTTGTTATAATAAAATGGTCCTGTGGCTACTTCTGTTGAATTGCCTTGATCAGTTCCGTAATTCCACTAGCAGCTCCCCACCAAAGCACTGCGTTAATTACGTACAGATCTAGGTTTTAGAACTAGTGGACAATAAAGCCTTGGTTATAACTGGGAATGCTCAACACTGGCATTTTTAGTTACCAGGTTCTTACTGAGCACTTTCTGTGTGCCTAGCACTGTCCCAGACTATGCTGTGAAAGCAGCTACGTCAGAACAAGTAGGACATGAGTCCGCCTTTCTCCCCAGCGGCCACTGGGCCTCACGCAGAGGAACCCATCCAGGCACACAGGCTCCCAGGAGAGAGCCAGAGAGCCCCTTCTGCAGAGGGGACCCAGGGAAGCTTCAGCCATTAGCTCAAAGGGTGGATAGGCTTTTTGAAGGGTTGTTTTTTGGTGGGTTTTTTGGTTCTTTTTTTTTTTTTTTTAATTTTTTACTTAAATTCGGTTCGTTAAAACATAGTGTAGTATTAGTTTCAGAGGCAGAGTTTAGAGACTCATCAGTTGCGTATAACCCCCAGTGCTCATCACATCACGTGCCCTCCTTCGTGCCTATCACCCAGTTACCCCACCCCACCCACATCCCCTCCAGCAACCTTCAGTTTGTTTCCTAGAGTTAAAAGTCTCTTGTGGTTTGCCTCCCTCTCTGTTTCTGTCTTGGTTTATTTTTCTGAAGTTTTGTTTTGAATGACGCTCCTACAACCTGAGTTCTTTGGATCGCCCCTCACTCTTCATTCTTCAGTTTTCTTTGGAGCCTTTTACATGGAGCTGCTTGCAAACTAGTCACCCCATATCATATCTGCATTTCTTTCAAGAGAGCACCCATCCCCTCAAACTTCCATCCTTTAGGTCGGTGGACGAGGAGGACCACTACTATGTTCACCCTGTCCCTGGAAGCCTAGGAGCACAGGAAAAAAAGGCCACACGACAAGAGAACCCTGTGTCCTTGTTGTAGCCCATATGTCAAGAAGGTGGCTGTTAACACAGTGTTCACAAAGTGAATTGTGTGGGAGGAGACGTATTTATTCTGTGGTGTAATAAAAATGCTGCTGGATCTTCAAACAGCCCACGAAAGAGACCACCTTTACTTCCAGGGCATCAGAACACATGGCTCGAGTCTGGGCCACTCGGGGGCCACCCAGCTGCTCTGAGAGGTGTCAGAGATGGGTCCTGGCCCAATAAGTCATCACAGAGGCTGAGATGTGGAAGGAGCCCAACTTGTTCCACCTCTATCTGCATAAACTCCTTCTCCATCCCCACCTTCTCCCCCTTCCAGAGCATGACAGCTTCCCAAGGCAGCTGATTCCATTTTTTGCCAACTGTGTGAAAGAGTTCTTCCTTAGGCCATATCATAACTTCTGCCTGCCACTAGAGCCCTGAGTAAACCCTGATAAACTCAGTCAAGTACTCGTGGAACACGGTATTGTCAACACTTCTAAGAGGGGCTACTGATAAACTCCCCCCACATCCATGAAATATAAACCAAGTTCCCAGGTAAATGAATCATTTGAGCTGTTACATAAAATTATTTTTTTAAAGATTTTATTTATTTATTTATTTATTTATTTGACAGAGAGAGATCACAAGTGGGCAGAGAAGCAGACAGAGAGAGAGAGGGAAGCAGGCCCCCTGCTGAGCAGAGAGCCCAAGGTCAGACTCTATCCCAGGACCCTGGGATCATGACCTCAGACAAAGGCAGAGGTTTATCCCACTGTGCCACCCAGGCGCCCAAGCTGTTACATAAAATTATTTTTATTAACCTAGACATCCTCCCCAAACAACAATTCTGTTTTTCCTTTTACAATAATTGGTATTTTAGCCTTTCTTCTAAAAAGCAATGATAGTGGGCCCATTTGTCTGTTGAGGTTAGCATCTGAAAGTAAAACCGTATAATACTGAGAGTATTGGAAACTGCTTCTCGGCCCCCCCTCTGGAGTAGGGTGCATCTGGCTCCCGCTCACCCCACAGCTACTCCAGGTCATCAAGAAGGGAGGCCAGGACGAGCCTCTGTGCTCCACTCCTCATGAAACCGCGTCCAGCTAGTCTCACCCCTCAAGATGGTTTATGACTATGTTATGCAGATCGTGCTCTGCGGAATCCCAGACCTGCCCTTTCCGCTTGCATCTGAAGCCATGTGTGTTCTTTATATGGACAGGAGGAGGGGAGGCTGAAGACATGGGAGCAGAGCTCATCAATGACTTCTGTTGGTACTGGTGCAGAACACTCATTCCCCACCATCACCACCCCCTTTTCTCTTTTATCAAATTAAGGAATTCACTTGCAGTGAAAATAATCTATTCAATCATCCTCATGCCCTTAAATCTCCACTCTGTTCTTCAGCTTTCTTTGTCCATCATTTGGCGGCTCTGACCTCTTCCTTCACTTTCCCTTGGCATCCCCGTGATGCCCTGAGTTACTAGAGCCCCCGGGCTATTGGGACACCTCTGTACAGGTGCGCGCCAGAAGATGTCACCAGCAGCATAGGAGGATGGGAATGTTGAGGTGGTCTCTCGGGGCGTCACTGGTGAGAGAGCACCACTGTTCCTTACTAGTTTCAAAATCTTCCCCTTTTGCGGGCCATCATTTTAAAATGGAATATTAACTGTAAAAAAGGATGAGATCTCACCATTCACAACAACAGGGATAGACGTAGAGGGTTAGATGAGAAGGACAGATACCAAATGACTTCACTTGTATGGGAAACCTCAAGACCAAAACAAATGAATAAACAAAAAGCATAATCAGACCTATAAATACAGAGAACAAACAGATGGTTGCTGGTCAGGGGAGGGGATAGGCAGGATGGGGGAAGGAGAGCAGGAGATACAGGCTTCCAGTTGATGGAGTGAATAAGTTATGGGGATAAAAGGTACAGCGTGGGGAATATAGAGTTGTGTGGTGACAGATGGCAGCTACGCTTGTGATCTAGAGCTAGATCTAGCATAAGATCTAGAGAAGTTGAATCATTATGTTGTACATCTGCAACAGTGTACCAGGATGTGTCAACTATATGCAAATAAAGAAATAATAGATGGGGCGCCTGGGTAGCTCATTGGGTTAAGTGTCTGACTCTTGGTCTTAGGTCAGAATCTCAGGTCCTGGGATCAAGCCCCACATCAGAATTCGAGCTCACTGGGGAGTCTGAGGGTCCTCTCTCTCTCCCCCTCTGCCCCTCCCTCTCTCCCACTTGGATGCATTCTCTTTCAAGTAAACCTCTTTTTAAAATAGAATAGAATATTAAAACAAGATGGGAAGACCACATGAGGGTCCTGATTCTGACCCCTGGCCACTCTGGTGGCTGCTGCGGCCATTAAGAGGTTCCCTCGTGTACTGAAAGAGCAAAGACCCCAAATTACCCATAGATAGTGACCACCTGCTCTGAAATCCTTCCTGCACCAGTTGTACCAGGTTCTAAGAAAGTATCACTTAGGAAATGCTTTTGGAGAAAACTCGTGAAGACCCTTTGTTCCCAAGGAGGGACCAGTCATCTGCGGCAGCCCCAGGTCATGGCTACAGCATCCACCTGGGACAGTGGGAACATCTGGGCACTAGCAGAAACACTCCGTGTAAGAGGACACTTAGGAAAGGGTGGGAAAGTCGAGAGGCAAGAGGTGAAAGAAGCCAGACCACGGTCCTCAGCCCCGCCTGGACCAGACAGGCAGCCATATTGCTTCCAGTGCCCTTAATGGAACCCATGTTCTAGCCCAACATAGGCAAGACACGTTTCTGCTTTATGCCGAAGGCTCTCCAAACGGGAGAACCGGTTCTAAAGGATGGGATTGTGTTTGGGGAGGAGCTGCTGTGCACACGTCCAGGTGGCTCTCCCTCCAGCCAGCAGCCAAGGAGCCTGGTGGATGGTCTCAGCTGGCTCAGGACAGCCCGAGAAACCAAGGCTGTGCCTGCTAGTGCCATTTCAAAGGCCAAAAAAGAATTAGTGTGGATCGTGAACTTGTTCTCACAGTGAAGGAAGTGGCATTTGGAGGGTGTGGAGAATTAGCAAAGGCCAATCCCGTGACTGCACTTGGCCCCACGATGCAGTTCCCCACAAGGAACAGCCCTGTGATGGCAGACATTGGCATTGAAATGTTAGCAATGCTCTTTCTGATCTTTTGCAGCTAATGGAGTCTTTTTCTTTGCCTTCAGGTCCTCATTGGCCAAATGTATTCGACTGACAAGCTTATCATTGAGAATAAAGAGAAGCCTCGGACCTAGGGGGCCGGGACCAGCCACCACCGGCAGCCGTGGACCAGCTTCAGCATCCATGCTGCGCTTGGGGTGGGGGCTCCCCCAGGCCACAGGTGGCCTCTTCCATCAGCTTAGAATAGCCTCTTGCTCGGCCTGCCCAGTAGGAGCTGATAAACTGAGGCCGGTTTCCATTCTTCTGCAGCCCTAGTGAGAAAGGGTGGCAGAGTCTCCTTGATTCAAGCGAGGAGCTGGAGCTCACCCCGAATAGTGCTGTGTATTCTTGTGTCTGCTCTCCGCCCCACCCCTCTTTTGTATCATCACCGCCCATATAGAGCCCCTCCACCCTCTGCATCTTCGTTGACAATAAACAGAATTGTCTCCTGAAGCCTTCTTACGCCAGATGCGCTCCCGACGATGAATGCGCCTTCGTTTCCTGCTGACGGCGCGGCCTACAGAGGCCGTGGGGACCCAGAGGGAGGCTCCCTTTGTGGGGGCAAGTCTAGGCACCCAAGATTTGGAGGGCAGCAGGGAGTAGGGCAACACCAAAGAGGTAGAGGGTGCATCCCGCAATTTATGCCTGGGCCCGGTGCAGCCACAGAGGGGCCCGCCCGCAGCTCCCCACCTGGAGACAGGATGCTAGCGGCCCTGCTGAGTGTGGTCTGAGGATGGGCACCAGCAGCCCCGCCTGGGAGCTGGTTGGAAATGCAGAATCTTGGGCTTCACTCCAAATGCTTTGAATTTGAGTCTAACACATCCAGGTGCCCCCAGCCCACACTGAGGTTGGGGAAGGGCCACTCGGTTCTGCTTCCCAAAGCTGGCTTCCCTGAGCTCCCTTCACAGAGCCATAAGCACCTGAGGAATTGGAGAGTTTTATAAGAGGAATTTCTCGGCACTTCCTTGCCCTCAGATTCTGACTCAGTAAGTGAGAGGGGAGGCATGATCACTAGGCCCCCTAGCGTTTTTACTGTCTAGTCAGTTCAGGAAGCTCTGGTTCCTTGAAGATGTTGCAGGTAATAGAGACATTTGTGTGCGTTTAGCCTTGTAAACACATCAGCTAAAAGCCTAAAAAGAGGGTACTAAATAACTTACTTGATTTCTGGGGATTTTAGGGGGGACCCAGATACTACCAAGAGTGCCTTGTTTCCCTTTGTAAACGGCACTATGTGAATTCATTACTTAGGTGTTAAGGTTTGGAACGGGCTCCTGTGAACATTTTCAGATCCTAAAATCACTGACAGTGTCACCGAGCCTGCCCCTGAGCCAGGGCCCCTGGCATTCTAATTCTTACAGTCCTGTGAGTCAAGTGAGAACAGACTGGGTCTTCATCCCCTCCAGTGTGAAGAGATCGCGTCTGCCCTCCTCACCCACAGAGTGTGGATTTTGTTGTGACTGTACGTTCAGAAGAGATTACAAGTGTACTCCTGGTTGGCAGCTCAACTTGGGACTTCAGAAAGGTTTTGCCCAGGGATCGTCTTGTACACCCGCACCTTGGTAGATCTTGGACCTGCCCCCCCCACCGCCGCCCCACCCCACACCCCAGTAAACAATGTTAGCACCGCAGCGTGGAGCTGGCAGTGAATGTAGGTGACGTGGGAAACGTGCTGTCTCCCTTCGGCTGACTGTCATGGGACAGTCACCCACCCTGGGATGTGCAGCTCTGGGTCACTTTTTCCACTCTGCGTCAGTAGGCTATGGTCCAAGGACTAGCTCCTGGATGTCACCTCTGATTTACACCTAATGAATTAAAGCAGCTGCTGCTGCTACTTGGAAACCCAAGTCCAGGGTTGAACCTCTCCCCTAGAAGAGTCAGGTTACCAGAGGGTATCTGCTCCAGAGGAGACCCAGATTTGAGTCCCAGAGGCAGTGGCCCAAGCTGACTTAGCTCGTTCTGCGGGACAGAGCAGTGGGTCGCTTTTATGTTCATTAAAGCCCACGAATGGGTTTAAACAGGCCCAAAGCCGTAAACAGCTAATTTTTGTGACTCAGATAAGAATAACTCTGCATTAGGAATATATAGAAAGACATGAAAGAATCCTATCTCATAAAATCCACGGTCTTGATCCTGTCCTGCAGGCTCAGATGAGACAGAGCCTTGCACTGGACAGTCCTCAACTCAGAGGACCCAGGTGGACTCTGGCACTTTGAACGAAGTGACGTGCCCGTGGGAGTGGTCTCTGCTTCTGCTGTTAAGCGCTCCCCGTGCTCGACTGGAGCCCCACATCGCACTCCCCCTCACAGACCTCTAGTGTGCTTGGCTGTTCTGAAGGAGGGACTCGGGCTGGGGTCTGGAGATGACTTTCCGGTGTCAGCATTTAGCAAGTGAGAAATGCCAGGACGAGTTAACCTCTGAGATGTAGAGCTATTCTCCAGACCTTCAGAGATGACGCTCGGTTGGTCTGGCTGCCATGCTTTCATAGCCGGGAAAGCTTCCTCGAGCACCGGCACGGTTATGTCGTTCTGACGGCTGTAGTTCTGTGGACTCTGGAACTGAAAGAAGATTGCGGGTTGGTCATAGCTGGCTTCCCGTCTCCTCCGCCCTGCCACCAACAGCAGCCACTCTCAACCCCCTTCATCCAGAGCTTCATCCAACATCTCCAGCACCTCAATACAACCAACACTGCCCCCACCAAGGGGAGAGGCTAGGGGGACATCTGCAGAGATGACAAAATGGCAGAGCTGACTGGCATTGGAATCCACCTCATCCAACCCCCACAACTGCAGGTGTGAAAACCAAGACCCTGAGCATCACCAGGTCATCTGGGGACCCTTCCCTGCCGCCCCTTCTGCTGGTCTTTCCGTTCATTCAGCACTGACTGTGAGCCAGTGGGTGCCCGGTTCCTTGGGGGAGGGGGGGACCAGTGAACAAGGCAGCCCCTGCCTTCACAGAGCTTGCAGTCCAGCAGGGGACATGGATGAGAAAAGACAAATCTGGGGACAGTTACAAAGGGTGAAATAAAAAGGTCCTCTAGAAGCTGATGGGAGTGCTTGGAAGGCCCTCCCTGAGGCAGGGGGGATTTAAATTGAAGATGAAACTAGGAGTTGGCTGCACAAAGGGTAGGGAGAGGAGCTCTCCAGGCAAGAGGAACAGCATATGCAAAAGCCTGAATGGGGGGTGGAGGGGATGGGAGGAGGAGGAGAGCACTGTGCAAGGAACTAAGGCAGCACGGGGTGGCTGGCAAGCAAGGATGAGTCAGAAAGCAGGGAGCACTGTGGGAGGCCCAGGGAGCCTTGACCTAAGGCTGTAAGAAGCTGTTGAAGTTTTCCAGCGGGATGAAGTTTATGGGGGAATAGATTGGGAGAGATGCATGGAGACCAACTTTTATGGGTGGTGGGGGAAGGGGTAGATTGGACACTAATCCGGGTAAGAGATGGTAGCGACTTCACCTAGGACGGTGACGGTTGCAAAGTAGAGTCAACATCACCCTGAGAAGAACTTGCTTTGGTTTGGAGGAGAACTCCTCCCAGCTGAGTCTCACTAAGGTCAGTCTACTGCAGCCAACCCTCAGGCCAACGATGCAGAACAAATGATTGTCTAAGGCACCGAGTGTGGGTAGTTACGGAGCAATGACAAGCTAATACAGAGAGCTAGAGTGATAATGGGTCTCTTTCAGGGCCACCTAGCAAACCAAAGAGTACGTAGGCAAACTTGATGAAACTGGGGTTCCTGTGTAGAGCCCTTCCCACAAGCACCTGCAGAGTACAGGTGTCACGTGTCTTACAGACAAAAGAGCTTGCCAGCTACTGGCCCCCATTAGTGTGTGCATTGAGCACAAAACAGGACCAAAAAGAGAAAGAAAATAGAGTCAACAGGACTTGGTAATTGATTAAATGTAAAGTGTAGAGAGGGTGTCAGGGGAGTCCAGGAGGGGTCCCAGGTTTGGGGCCTGGGTGACTGAGTAGAGAAGTTGGGCTACCTGCTAAGACAAGACAGCAGTGGGCACGGTCTGAATCTTTGTCCTCCTGCCAGGTTCAAACAACCTCAAGTTCAAACAGAAAGACTAGTGTCTACCAATGTATCTCTTACTTCCAAAGGTTGAAAATAATATTTCTGGTTTTTTCAAACCAGAAAAAAATCTACTGGAAGAAAACAATTTAAAAGACTGCTAAAAAGAGATTTTACCCATAGCTCTCTGTAAAATAAATATATTCCTTCTACAGGTAAAGCCTATAGATACATATTCTCTCTGGGTACAGGAGGAGTAGGGGGAAATTTTTCCATATTTTGCAAAAGGTGATACAAGATTTTTAGAAAGGCGGAGGAAGGTTGGTCTACATATTCTAAGACTATGGTTCGAAGAACGCAACTAAAATCCACAGTAAAATATCAAATTGGTGCATTTTCAGTGCACCAATATGTTTTATTACAGAATGAGCTGCTTAGGACTGCTCACTAGCTTTCTAGACTGAAGGATATCACAGGTACCGAGGCCAGGCTACAAATATAGCAGCAGCGGAAGAAATGATAAGCACTCAAAACACAGAAGGAGAAAGCATTTCCTATGCCAAGAATGATGTTCTCTGAGTTGGGAACTCTTCTTCTGGACCTACCCACAGTCACGAACAAGAAGTTCTTCTCCTTGGTAAATATGGCCAGAACCCAGATGACCAATTCTTTATCTTTTTTTTCTTTTTTTTTCTTTTTTTTTTTTAAGAGAGAGAGACAGTGGGAGGAGGAGCAGAGGGAGGAGGAAAGAGAGAATCCCAAGCAGACCCCATGCTGAGGGCAGAGCTGGACTCTGACCTCAATCTCAGGACCCTGAGATAGTGACCTGAGCCAAAATCAAGAGTCTGTCATTCAACCGACTGTGCCACCCAGGAGCCCCTAGATGACCGATTCTTGACTAAACACAATCATATGAACCAAAGAACATTTTAAGAGTTTAACCCATTAAACTCTGCTGGTGGCTTCAGGACAGCAGCCCAGTGTGTGATTCAGAAGCCACAAGAAGTGGCCATATTTTCTAGATCGTTGGAATAGACTCGTCTGGTAAGGTCACACCAATGAGGGTGGGGAAGCCAATGCAGATGTTCACTGTTACAAACAAAAACTGTCCACGGGAAGTTGTGCTTCTCACATCCCAAGTTGGCAGACGCCTCATCGCTAATCTAGTATTGGCCTGTTGTTACAGAACGATCTAGACAAAAGCTGGACCTTGGTAGGGAAAGCAATGATTTGTGTAGGACCCACCAGGCTTTTCCTGTGACCATTTGCCCATCCCTTCTCCAGAGAGCGGCTCCCCTCGCCACTGAGAACAAATAAGATCTTTGCTTTTCAATCTTTCTGCAGCCCTTATCAGTACCTCAGGGAACCACTTGTGAAAATTGCTTCTCGTGTTGAGATCCATGTGAGAAATAAGATGGATAACCTTGCTTTTGCCCCAGGGC